GGGGAAATCAGAGATTTGTAGAGTAATTACAGAGCCCGAGTCAAACCCTTCTGTTATGGCTCATTTTTCATCAACCTCTGTCTCCACGACTGTCTGACTGACTGTCCGACTGAGGTAAAATGGCTGTTTTCTCGATGGGAAATGCATGTCTGACCTGATATTTGACCTCTATTTTGTCTTTATCTGCTTTTATCTACTCAAAGATTTAAAGGAACAGTTGACATTTTGGGGAATACGCTTGTTTGTTGTCAACCCCAGAGCTGAATGATGCAGTTTCATCTCTCTGAGGAGACAAAACTGTTCTCATAAGAAGTTGCACACATGTGACATTTTTGTGTTTCATCACTTCTGATGGCTTTAATGATGTCCTGCCATTTGAGGCATCAGATCAGAATATGTCAGTTTGGAGTTTGGGGGGAGAGAACAGATTAGGACTAAGCCTATCTTAGCACAAAGACTGGAAACAGTGAGAAAAATAGCAACAAAATATACCTTTTCTTCAAGTCCACACCCTTAAATGCCCGTGTTTTCATCAGTGTAACACTTATGTCAAACAGTCCAGACATTAGCCATTGCCGGCCTCTCGCCACGCAGGAGCGCTGATTGGGATCTACCTGCATCCTTCTTCTGTTGCTCAGTGTTTGGCCTGGTCCTTTTCCTCAAGCGCAAAGCTCACGTCAGAGCCACATTACTCACATCCTGACATTTCAGGTAAACAAAGGAGATGATGAAATGAATGACAGGAAGCAAAATGTTGTATCAGAACATAAAGTTAAGCTTGGGAGTTTGTGTTCAATAGGGAGAAAAAAGATGGGAAGAAAATTTGCAACTGGGGTCATTTTTGTTTGATTTAAAGGGACAGTTCACCCCCAAATCAAAAAGACATATTTTTCCTCTTCCAAAAGATCAGGCATGACCCCTACATAAACCTGCACGGTATCTGTCCAAGCGCAGCCCAAGCCCAAAACCCAAATTTGTAAAAAATATGTTATATCATATTTTACGTGTTATAATATATAGCTTTTAACATTGAAACATGTATTGTAAGCTAAGGGCTGACATGTTTCCTCACACTACTTCTCCCTCTTTTCACTTTTTTCATGTGCGCTCTGTCTCTTTTCTACAGTTTAACTACTCTCTGTTGTTCCGTTATCTTTCCCACTCTCAGTATCAGTCTCCCCTTCGTTTTTGTCTTTTTTCCTCATGACTGAGTCCATTAAAACTCCTGCCAAAGTACCATTAAAGCATGAGAACAGCCAGTTTCATTAAAAAAAGAAGATTCAACAATCTTTGGTCAGTTCCAAGTGGGTTTGGGCAGAGCTCTAATGAGTAGATGCACCCTTCCCTCTGCGTGATGATTTGGTTGGCGAGTGTAGAAAGAAAATAGTTCTTACATGAAACTGCTCACAACAAGGTCTGTGGATTATCTTGAGTAATTGGGATATGATTTCTGGAAAGAGACACTGCTGTTGAGTTTTTCAAATGTATTTTATTGGCTCTTTGAGCACAACAAGCTGAGTGCCATCTAGTTCTGTTACACTGGAGAGAAGGTAGACATCTCTACGGCCAATATCCACAATACTCTGCAACTCACACCAAAACAATGTAGACTGATAAACAGCACTACAGGTAAGAGGAAAAATGTGAATGTTTTTGATTTGGGGTTGAACTGTTCCTTTAAGTAAAATACATTTTGAAATAAAGTGATACACTCTTGGCAAAATGGTCCCACTGCCATAGCAGAATCTTGCACGTCTGATCACACAAGAAAGACTTGCTAAGAACAAGAACCCAATATAACAGGAAGTCATGCAAGAAACACGTCAATACAAAGAGCCGAACTAAAACAGCTAATAAATAAAACCTCTAACACTCTGCTCCTTTGTTTTCTCTGCAGACTCAAACAGCCAGGCAAGTTGCCCTGACAGCACTTGTGTCTTAAATGATCTTTGTGGAGTATAAAAGGACTTTTAGCTGGTAAATTGCTGTAATTATCAAACATGCCCTTCTCATTTTGCACAGTCAGACCTCGTTGGCAAATTCAACCGACAATTAAGAAAAGCTGGAAATGAATGACAAGTAATGGTGTGGCCCACATTACTCAGATGAGGACAAACAATCTGGAGAAAGGAGGTTGTAATGATGGGAAGTGTTTGAAACAGGGAAAGAGGAATTACACACTGAAAACATCATGAGCCTTTTGAAGAGAGGAAGGGGATTTAAAACGATGTTTGCAAATTTATTCGCAATAGTATGGATGTACTCTAAGAAAACCTTGGAACATTTTAAATCCTGTTGCTGTGGCTTTTCCCTCTGTTTGACACACTTTGTAGGCTTTTTATTGCTGCTTTGTTGTGGTCTGAGTGAGGAGGAGGAAGAGGTGGGGGGCATAAGATGCAAATGACAGTGTTTGGGAGCACTTTATCGCCAATCATAGAGAAATTATAGCTCCATGAGGCCTGTACATAACGTATAAAGTGGCTTCTTGAGGATCCACAGTGGAAAAGTAGACGTGTTGGATCTAGGTGATTTTGAGGAGGATCTTCCTGCCTGTGAAATCTCTCTCTTAAATCCTTATTTATTAATTACCAGCCCAGAGTGAGAAGCCATTCCTGTAAGCTTTCCTTAAGTCTGTAATGAAGGGCTCGTGATCTTAAGGGAATATATAAAAATATGCATTAATGATATACATTTTGAGTCAAAAATATTGTAAACAATCTTGTAAATGTACCCTTGTTCTTGAAATAAATAGGGAAGAAAATGACTACATATGCTGAGTTTTGACATAAGAAAACAGTTTGTAGTTGTACATATACCCTGAAGACACTGTGTTCTTACTTTTCGTTATCAGTTTTTAAAACAGCAATGAACACTGTCCCCACAAGACATTTTCATTCACAAAGAAATGTCGCCCCTGTGTGGGCAGTATATTGTACTACACCAATCTGGTTTGGAGCCCTGCTTACAAGACAGTTTCAGATTTGAATTCTTTGCTTTTCATGTATTTAAATCCTTTATATATTTAAATAGGGGATTTTGCTGTTTTTTTTGTCCCCCACAATATTTAGAATATGCACTTTTTTCATAAAAACATGAAAGAGGCAGAGGACTTTTATTCTGACAAAATTAAAGATAACTGATGCACAACAATTCCAGGAAATGCAGAGTGCAGGTGTTATTGCTCAAAAATTTTCGGTGGGAGGATCTCAAAACTCCCCCTTTCATGTATGTGTCCTCCATGTTGGAACAAAACCTATGCCCAGGGGTGTCATTTCGGGACTGATTACCCAGGGCCCATGGGGCACCCTCTAAAGGCATGGAATAGTTTGGTTTTGTTTGTAATTTTTTATTTCTGAATAATTTGTGCCATAAATGAATTACAATTGGCTGAGTAAATTACTTGAAAGACTGAACTTTGTATAAGAAAAAAAGACAACAACAACTGTGGAAACTCTTTGAGGCCTCTCTCACCCCTTAAAGGCACAAAATGGTTTAATCCACCCCTGAATTCGGATTCATCTCTAAACTCAACCTCTAGGTGAATGGGTGACTGTTAATGCTGCTCATATCTTTCTCCTTGAAAGGGAAATCAGTGTTACAAAAAGAAAACGAAAGGGAAAGACTTTGTAAAAAAAAAAATCAAAAAAAAAAATCAAAAGGTGCATGAAAAGACATGGATCAAGAGAGGAAGGACCAGGGGCCCACAGAGACCAGCATTCGGAGCTGCACCCCTGCTTATGCCCTTGTTTATTGAAAAAATGTTTACTATAATGGACCTTTGTCACAGAAGACATTTTGACTTGTCATAGTGAGAAAAGCACAGATGAAACTGATTTAATTAATGATGGCTCAGTTCCATTAAGTGTGCTGGTAAGCTATTCCAGTGAGCCAGCCTACCGGGTCCTCCCGTAAATGGAATGCAGCTTACTATTAATGTCATTAAATACACCTGTGCTTTTCCTATGGTGACATGTCAAAATGTCTGCTGTGAAAAAGGTCAATTTTAAGTTCAAAGTAAACCCATTTTCTTCCCATTCCCTAATGTAATGAAAGCATGACTGGCATGTATATTTCCAGGATTTATATTTTCTTCAAGGCTATGGTACATATTGAAACAGTGAAGGAAACATCCATGAGGCTGCATTTGCTTTGCTTTTGAATGGTGTCAACATACTTTACAAAAATTGTAATAACAAACATATTCATCAGATTATTCAAAACAAAAACTAAATCACCCCAAGAGGGAAATTTTACTGGAATTCACATTGGAAGAGATTACTTCTAAGTTTTGTATTTCGAACAAAGTTCATTTCAAAATCTTGCATAAAATCTATCCAGTGAATTCAATAATTTCCAGATATGTTATCAACATTCGATAACTCTTGTATGTTTTGTGCACACACTGTTGAAATATCAGTTCATTTTTTCTTTGAGTGTAGAATAACATTGAAATTTTGGTCTGATTTAAGTTCCAATGTCAATGTCATTCATTGTTTCACTCTTAAAGATATATTCTATTACTGTGATGATATGAGTAACAAGTCTCTGAACTATGTTGGTAATTTATCTTACTGGTTAAATTCCTTATTTATAAACACAAATGTTTAGGTTCACAGCCCTCTTTTTAATTTTCAGTGCTGAACTCTGTTGCTTTTACAAACAACAGTAAAAGTAACAGTTGTTGTTTTTTTTGAACATTAAAAAACTTATTTGATGAAACCCCCCTGGTGTTTATTTTCTAATGTCCATTCTATATTTTATTTATTATAGGATTTCTAAATGTTTATGTAGCCTATTGATATTATTATTTTGTATTATCTAATATATTATCAATTATATATTATATCTCAGCCTTAAAAAGTGTCATTTATCTCATTGCAATTGATAATATCAGCTATTCTGTATTGTTGTGTTCTTGTTTTATGCCTGACATAAATTGTACATTGTATTGTTAAATAAAGTTTAATTTAAAAAAAAAAAACATCTCAGGTGGAGTTTGATTGACAGCAAAGGCTGCTGGTGCAGTGTAGTTAGCCAAACCATTAGCGAGATTTTATTAGGCCATGATTAATTTGAGATTATAACAAGCATAGCAAGGTCTTTCAGAGGGTGAAGTGAACCTGATGGATGTGACTGTGGAGGTGGAGAACCAAGACGCTGTGAGTGAACTGCCCTTGGCGTTACCGCCTAGCTGGGAAATCGTTTCCTGTTAGGTAGCATAATGCTATGCTAATTCGGTAACGGTATGTCAGTGTCACATTTAATGTTATCATATGTTCATTGATAAATTGGTTCATTATGGACTGTTTTCCTGTTTCCTTTAAGCTCAGTATACTAGAATTAACCAAGAAAAAAATGCTAACATTAACGTAGCTTGTGTAATGCTAAGCGGTTCACCCTGCTAGCTTAATAATTAGCTAAATTAGCTAAGTAACATTAGCTAACTATGTGGGAGCTAATTGTTGGTGGAAGAAATCATTCTCTCTCAGTCAACGTTTGAAAACAGCGGAGATTTTTGGCTGTTAAACATTCAAGGCCATAAACTGTCATTGTTAATGCCAGAGCTAGCTTGCTAATAGACTACAGACGTATGTTTTCTCAAGTGAAATCATGTTACAGTACAATTAACAGTTAGCAATAATGACGTCATAGTGGCGTCCACTGGGGACATTTTCATTTTTATGAAACTGTCAACTTTGGCCATGTTACAAGAGTTACTGTTGTGATTCGTTATATATTTTATCCACTGGCTGCAGGTGCATCAGTCTAGCCTGACAGGGGTTTGTTGTTGTTGTTTTAACTCGTTTTTCAAATTCAGGATCATACATTAAAACATAAAAGCATACACTATCATCTTCAGCATCCCCCCACTCCCACATCCGCCGACTCCCACATTCAGCTCACTTGAATTTCCTGCACTTCATGACTGAAAAAGGTTAAAGTAAAATAAATAATAGAGGCAAATAATAATGATAAAATTATACTAATAAATCAAAAGGGAAAATAAAATTACATATAAAATGGTACAGTAAGAGTAGACTTATAGTAGTAAACAAGACTGACTTTAAAGACTGAAGACCCTACTGTTTATTATTTTGTTTGTTGGACTTCAATGAGTGATTAAGAGGTTGGCAATAAGTGTTGTTCGTTAAAAAGTCTGCATTGGTACATAAAGATGGGATTTTCTTCAACTACTAAATCCTGTTGCTTGGTAGGGGTGAAACAGTTCATCAGTCTGGGTCAATACATCGATTCAATGATCAATGAGCCAATATTATTGATGCTAAGTAATAATATTGGCACATATAGACATCTATAAGATATATCCTTAATTTGAAATTGCCAGGACACACCTGTGTCACCGTTTCTGTCCAAGCACACCTCCTTCCTAAACATTCAAACTGTGATAGTGGCCCAGCACTCAGCAGAAAATGGCAAGCAGCCAAGAGAAAGAGAGAGGATATTTACTGATATTGTCTCATATTGATTGCAGACCAATGCATTGAATCCAGTTGAAATTCAGTCGTAGTAGACTTTGTGATATCAGCAAATATCGATCCATGTCCTGAGAATTGATATAATTTAGTATCACAATGAAACTTGTGATTTAGGCCACACCTCTAGTACTTGGCTACTTCCTGTTGGGAAAGACCTTTAACCCACATTAAAAACACCAGATCCAATCTGAGTAAAGTCAATACACGCCGTCCTACAAGGTGATATGTTTGTTACTGTCCTGAAATAGGCCAGAATACCTTGTCATATTTTCTTCCTGTTCTCCGTCCCAGTACAGCAGCAGCTCCCCCACCCCTGGTGTGTTACCTCAGGAAAACCATGATGACAGCCTGACCTATCACACCCCTGCCCCAGCACTGTTTCCCCAGCCAGATTTTTGTCAGGGGAATCGGTTACAAGGTGAGAGTTGCAAACTTCCTCTGGCAGAGTAGCTGGTATGTTTGGTCTTGTGTGTCTTACTGTAGAAGAGCAGACACTAGAGAGCAGCAAAGCTTGTAAATAATCAATGGTCAGGATGAGATTGTGAGCTGAGACTTAATACTTTCATAAGAGGCCAACTATTACTTCGCCATATTTCTCCAGAAATGGCTTTTAGACTGGTCATACATAAAACATTCAGCTTCCAGATATTTACAGTTTAGTAATCAAATAGAATATCCACCAGTGTGCTGTGTCTTTCCCCATCTCCTCTCATTTCCCATCAGCTCTTTACTGGCTAATAAAGGCCCCTCCAAACATTGTGACTCTGTCCTGTTGCCTCATAAACACTGACTTTACATTTTGTCTAAAATCTGTAGTGCAATGTTCCCAAAAGTAGCACTGGTATTACAACCATTGATGTGATGCCAGTGTGGTGATCACACAGGCTTTAACAACTTGCATGCAGATCAGTGTTGCACAGATGCCACCTGGTGGTTGGTGGTGCACATAACTACTGACTGACTGTTAAACAATCTGAATTGATTCCTTCCAAACCAAATTGTTAACCACTGTACCTTTTTTCGGAGAGATAGCAGTTCAGTTGTGTGTGTGTGTGTGTGTGTGTGTGTGTGTGTGTGTGTGTGTGTGTGTGTGTGTGTTAATTAGAGTGACCTGCAACACATCTATTCTCAACACTGTGCTGTAAAAAATATGGGGATTGTGATAGATCACTCAGGAAAGACAAAGGGATGAGTTAAAGGTTAACTTTGGCAGTTATTAACCTGGATACTATTTCCCTGTGTAAACTGATCGAAGAGACTGATGCGGGCAACAATTTTTGAAACTGGTCCAGTATTGAGCGAGCCAGCAGCGGCCGGCAGCTGCACAACGAGCTGCAATGAAAGTGCATGGGGCAACTGAACACTATCACTGTATGTCCATTGAAAGTGGTTATTTTTGACACAGAGCGGCTCATATCGTTATTATAAGTCTCTGAAGTATCTCTTTACCTTTCACTCGTTTGTTATTGCCTCCTTAAGCAGAAGTGTCGTTCTTAAACATCAGGAGATGTGTGTGAGATTTGGAGAGAGTTTAGTAACCTGAGTAGTTTACAGAAAATATATTTTGGTGATATGTAAGAGATTTTCAATATCATTGATGATAAAAGTGATATTGGCCACATTTTTGCAACATTTTTAATTGGCCAGTTGATCAGCTGTTGTCAGTGTTTTGTTGTACAGTTGCCAGTGCCCTCCAGACCAGTCGTCTTCTCCCAGCTGTCAGAATATTTATACCAGCCCGCTGATGGAGGCAACTTCCAGCTCCCTCTGCCAGTCATGGAAGACATCACACCAGAGGTACAGATAAGCCTGTGCATTTGTTTAACTGTGAATCTGAATCTGCCCCCACGAGGAATTGTTTGGTAAAAGATTCGCTCTTTTAAGTGGTATGAAAATAGAAGGCTTGTTGAATGTATTAGTTTGATTGGCGGAGAGAAGGGTGCTCTGATTAAGTGTTTTGGGGCTGATCAGCTATCACTAGAACCAGTATCAGCTTCATGCTTCTTCTATTTTATTTTTATTTATTTAATTATTTTTAATCTCATGTAACTTGTTACATTTAGTTTAATTTTAGTGTGAATTTTAGTGTGGTGTAGAGTTCAATATGCAATCATTAATAATAATTTACTTATTTATTTAGTAATATAAACAAATATTCATTCATTTCTATTGCAGTTTAAAAACATTTTTATATGAGGTTTGCTGAGAAGCTGCTCAAACTGTTTGATGTACACATAAAAATTGGAAATAGTTTCACTGTATGTCACTGTAATTGTGGTTGGATCTGGCCCTGGTCTTGACAGTAGTGCAGACAAAGGATAAATACACCAAATGGCGCAGTAAAAAAATCTTGGTGCAGGTAAAAAAAAATTAGTCCATTGCATGTACACAGTAAAAAGTATTTCAAGCCTTGGTATCTGTCGCCATTTCTGCAAACCTTCACTGAGTCTTAGTGTTGAGGAGTGTGACCTCTGATGCTGATTTTGCCTAATTGACCACCGCAGGGCTTCGGCCAGAAAGCACGCAGGACATCAGTAGAGTTTAGATTGTTTACTGTAGAACTGTACGTGTACAACGATGCATTCTGGGTACAGAGCAGTTTCTGAAAATATATAACAAGAAATAAAGGACTGATTTATCATTGTGTACTGCTGTTAATTAAATACAGTAAATAAACACTTTACAGTAAATAAAAACACATTAATATCAGTATCAATCATCTAATATTCATAAGTGCTGCTTTAACCCTGAATCATATAGCATATACATGTAAACTGGGAGTAATATGAAGTTCACAGCCATACAAACAACTCAGTTAGCTTAAATGATGCTAAATCGCGATCATGCTAACATTTAAAAGCTGACATTTCAAAGAGTGCAAATATACACCAGCAGCTGAACAACACAATCAGAAGAGGTGAGTAACATGTACACACTCATTTCACATCACTATGAACACAACTTACATCGTCAGTGACTGCTGTACCGCTGTAAACATGTCGAGTGAAGAACGTGAGGAAAGGAAGAGGAAACCGCCTTCATAATAAAACACCCACTTCAAAATAAAAGCATGAAAAAGCTTGAAGAATTCTTAACACTTGGTGTCATCATTTTCTCCACAGAATCAGATGTTTTCACACCAAAAGTACCGCTGATACAGCCACCACAAGGACTACCTCCACCTGCCAGAAGCAACAGAGCCACAAAACGCCACTGTGCTTGATACTCACCAACCTCTCAAGTAGGCTAAACCCACTCACAGCTTATTCAGGGGAAGAGTCCACACACAGCACCAAAACATCTCTTGTCAGTTCAATTCCTCCTCATCCTCCTCCATATACTCAGCACACATATAATCTATCAGTTGTATTGATGATTTTATGCAGTTGGATAATTGAGCTTTTCATTGCAGTGGCTCATATTGCTTACTGTACGAAACATTATTTACAGATGTTGTGCTTAATTCCTCTTCAATTAACAAACTTTTTTTTAAAAGGGTACTGAAGTGATGTATTTCCATAAAGATTGGGGACTCACAAGAGACAGATTTTAAAAAAGAAAGGTAAAAATCAAACCTGCAGAGACTGAGATATACTGAATTTTTATTGCTACAGAAATGATCAATACATTTCCCATGATGCAGCATGATAACATCTCTTGAGCAAACACCCCATTGCATTTTACAGTAAATGCCTACATGCTGAGGATATTGACTGCAATATTACTATGTCACCGTGTTCTGCTGTGACATTATGATGCAGATATACTTGTTCACAGTGTGCAGTGTAACCCTTACATCAGTGAGCATTGAAGTTATCTGAAGCATATGAAAGACTTAACATAACCAAAGCAGATGCATTTATGTAGGAATCCTATGGTATAATAAGCATGAATGGTCTATAATGTGCCAGTCTATGCCGTGTACATTGATGAATCAGGGTTTTTATCTGTATGAATGGGATCAAGACCCTGGCAGGGTGGCAAAAGCACCGAATGTCGGCTCATTAGAATAACAAAAGAGTGAGTCTCGTGACCTGGGATTGAAGTTTATAAAACAGCTCTGCGTCTCTGTGTCAGCTGTCTGACCATGATGAGCTTCATACTGTTTAGATTGACTTGTTATATTTTAACAGGGGTTTGAGTTTTCAAATTCTGCTTTACAGCAGAGCTAGTGTTAAGAGAGTTTGAGAGTCACTTTTCAGGTGTCACAAGTATTGATTTAATGATACATATCGTTTCTGAATATTTTAAATGGTTTCAATACTCATTTTCTGCAGTATCAATTAGGGGTGTAACGGTATACAAAAATCTCGGTTCGGTACATACCTCGGTACACAAGTCACGGTTCGTTTTTTTTTTTTCAGTACAGTAATGAAAAAAATAGACAACTATTAAATATCTTTTACTTATTGGTAACCTTATTAAAACATACCACCACAGCAGTTAACTCTTTTTACACAATTTTTGAATGAAACAAATATATATATAAAATCCTGCTTTTTCACATTGTTTGAATGAAAATAGAAATATAAAAGTGAAAAATAAAATCCTGCTGTTTTTTTAACACATTTTTTGAATGAAAAATAGAAATATACATTTCTGCTTTAACAGTTTTACTCAATTAAAATAAAAAGTATAGTGCAGCTGGTCAGCTTTAAAGCCTGCTCAGATTCAGTTTTACTAGGAACTTATTTAGCTTTCCCACTTTGTTAAAGTGCAGTAAACAAAAAATGCTTATATCTAAAGTGCAGCTTAAACAATTTTACTCAACTCCAATGGCGTTTATTATTTCTTTAGCGCGATGGTCAGGGAAACGCTCTTTCTTTTTAAACGACGACGATATCGTAGTTTGCACCAGATTGCTTTTTCTAGTCGTGCCAGTTAACGTTCAAACTCGGGTGGTGTTGCTTTAGATGCGTTAGCATGTTAGACGTGTTTCCAAGTACATACCCAACCGCTGTTCTGCAGTGTCAGCACACTGCTTTTGTCTTGTCAACTTGTTTATTTCCATCTTCGTATTTTACCCTGAAACCAAAGTGTTCCCAAACCGAGGACTTAAGTTTTGAAGGTGGGTCTTCAGGTTCGTCAGGCTCACTTGTCATGTTGTCAAAATGCGAGAATGCGCTGCACAAAGTGAAGGCGGAGATTTACGGGACTTGGTACGTCACTCAATTATATCCGTCGGGGAACTAGATATTTTAAATGGTTTGGCTCGCAAAAACGGAATTAAAATAAAACAAAACAAAATAAAATAAAATAAAATAAAATAATATCCTGCGCCCAGTAATTCGGTACAGGGTCGTGCCGAACAGAAAGTCGCGTACCAAACGGTTCGACACAAATACATGTACCGTTACGGCCCTATTATCAATACGTCAGTACAAGCTGCACTTTTTCGCTCTCTTTTATTGATAGTTTTTATCACAGTCATTCTGCTCTTGTCTGCAACTAATAAAGAAGAGTCGTCATTGTAATGATACAGCCTTTTTATATTTATCTGAAAACGTATATCCCCTCAATGTCAACTTACCCTTAGTATCGAAAATAGTATTGAATATCGATATTTTTCAAGATATTGTATCCAAGTTAGAGATTCCGGTGTCATGACAAAGCACATCACTGTTCTAGACACCTCATCTACACTGTGTATCTGTATCTCAAAAACTCAAATAGGCTTTAAATCGGCTGCTGATTTAACTTTAAATTGAGTTGGGGCAGATATTGCCCATGCTGATTTTATACAAAACATCTTAATTTCTTGTCTCATTTTCTCATGGACTCTGGGGCCCCTGATAACACCTCACATTGGGCCCAGAGACAGGAAATGATATTCAATCATATTCAAGGGCTGATGAGCTGATGAAATGCAGTACATTTGCTATTGTATAGTGTAGCATAACTGGTCAGCCCACATAATCAAGGCAATATATATATACATTTATTATGATATATTGATCTGCAAATTCTTGTGGTTCTGTCCTGTGAAAATGTCACATGACAGAATAGTGTCAGTGCTTTTTTAACTCTAATTGAATTTTGTCTAATTGAATTTTAATGCCATATCTGTCAAAGCTGGCTTCATATAAAAGTGTTTTTATGGCTGCAGTTCAAGACCAAAGAGAGCTCACATAGAGCAAACACTGGCAAGGCACATAACATATTTCTCACCCTATCTGGGATACATAAGATGCCAGTATACCAAATGATTTGCTTTTAGTAGCTTCAGTGCCAGATGGGTTATATATGGGTTTTTGATTTACAGATGTGTGTTGTAAAATTAAAGTAGCTTAGGCTGCAAATGCTGTGTAGAAGTCTCCATAAAGCTACACATATATTAGCAAAGGCTAAATCATCTGAAAAGTTAGCCTCTTTCTGTGAGTGATGAGTTGAACTGAAGCTAACAACACTAAGACTCCATGCTAACAGACTCCAGCTACTTAGATGACAGTGCGCAGTCGCAGCGACCCAGAGAATTAGGACTGGATATAAATTTGTGTGTATGTGACACTGAGAATTATGTGTTGGTGCATATGTAACATTTATATGCTGCTAATTGAATTGAAGCTAAAGCTAAGTGCTTCAAGCTAAATGCTACTATAAAGATGTCAATGTCAAGCATGTTTGTCATCTAAGTTTAACATGCTAACATTGCTATTTAGCAGTAGCCGCACAGTACAGCCAAGGCTTCTTGGAATATCATTAGTTTTGCAGGTATCTGGGGCCTCATTTATAAAAGAGTGCTTAGGATTCATACTAAAAGTCGACGTGCGCCCAAAAGCTGAAAATGGCGTGCGCCAAAAAATAATCTGATTCATAAAACCGTGCGCACGCACACTTGCACACAATGTTCTCTTTTTAAATTACAGACTTCCTGGAGTTGTGCGCACCCAGATCCGCCTCGTATTCCGCCCTCTACACGCCCTAGTTCAACCATAAATGGTCATGCAAATCACCTCATGAATGCAATCTGCATATAAATAAGCCGGCATGCGAGTGTTCTCTCGTTGTGAGTCACGGCGACAGGTGTGAGAAACGAACCAAAAAACGGAATTTCTCCGAGACTGAGCTCGAGACCCTTTAACGGGAGGTGGAGGACTGAAGAAAGATTTTATTTGGTGGCCACAGCAGTGGGATCACTAATAAAAGAAAGCGAAAATAAGTGGCAACACATCAACACTGCTGATGCTGTCAGCTGTGTCTGTGGGACTGCACGGACAGTGCCATCTTGCGCAATTACGCACGAGGGTCACCGCAGTATTTATATGTTTATGGCAATTAGTCTGATCAGACTCCCGGCCTGAATTACAGCATGAACCAGTGGTATCCCTGTCCCAAAATACAATGTGTAATGTGAAATACAATTCAAAGATGAAAGTGTAATAGGTGAACACGTTTCTTCGTGCCGGTTTTGTCATGAACAGCACATGTCTAAGTAAGGCTGATGAAATGAGTGCAACGGTTGTGCTTAATGGCTGTATTTCGAGACATGATAAATGCACTGGAAATATTTAGCTAAATAAATAAATATATTCCATGCAGTCGCGCCATCCTCTCCCCCTCCTGCGCTCACAGAGTAGACAATGAGACGTTAGAGGCAGTGCGGATTAAATACGTATTTAGAAAGAATTTCAATTCAGGATTTGAGTTTGTTTTACAACATTTTTATGAAACAATTATCACTCACTCCAAGCGCAAAATAAGGCTGCTGGATTTAATTTCAATGATAACGTGGATCTAAGGTGGATATAGCGTGACATTAAATTTGTGTGAGACATCAATAAAAATCTGACTCCACTTCTCCACCCTGCCGTCTGCGTCGCCACTTCCCAGTGTCTTCCAAAATGTGCGCACACATGACTCAGAGTTTGCTTACAGGTGCGCACATTCTCCTGCCAAGTTTATTTTTATAAATCACAACCTGGCGTACGCCACTTTCAAGCCCGTTTTGTGCGTAAGCAAGCTTTATAAATGAGGCCCCTGGTCATTAAACAAATCAAAAAGTGTTGGACAAATTAATCAGTAATTTTGACCTGATGATGGCAGCAGATGAGATTTAATTGTCATGTAACAACACATTATGTTCATCAGTTCATTGTAGAAAAAAAATATTGGTATAAGTAAACTTAACAAGCAGCAAGCTTGGGGGCTGAAAAA